AATCGGCTCTCTATGCGCGTCCCGTGACCGTGGCCAGCTGAGGCTATATATACAGGTGCATTTTATGTTGCTTTAAGTTGATCGCACCAGACCTTGTCCGAACGCTGACTCTACGCCGCTTTGCTCTGTAGAACGTATTGTTATCGACTGTGTGTGAAGATTAATAAATATCATTTTGAAATACTCTCACGGAGTAGCTTTTGCGTTTCCTTCGAAAGTCGCAGAAAACGATTTAAATCTCCGATCCCCTTTTCCTTTAATTATTAGAAAGAGGCCACAACGACTGATCATCGTTGTCTCCTCATTCGTAAAATAGTTTTTGGATAACATATGTGTCCAATGCCCAGGTGTGGCTGGGCACCCCCAGCTTGTCTTACATAATAAAGTTGCTTGCGACGTCGGTCGGTACATCCGTTGACCACTCCATCCCTCCTGACTTTTCCCCCTATCTCCCTCCCACAGAGCCCCCAGACAGGCCTGCAGGAGGGCCCTGTTTCCCGTGTTCAGGACTTTGAAAATATCGCAAAATTCGAATTTTGATCCAAACATACTTTTTAAAACTTTAAAACAAGCGCCAAGATGTTTTCCACATTTTCGTTTTTTAAATTTGGAAAAAGAGTGAAAATTGACTGAATTATCTTGAAAAACGGGGAAAGATTTTTCAAAAACGTACAAAAAACGGGAAGAAATGTTTTTATGTTTTGAATTTCATCTATTTTAATTATGAAAATATTTCAATTTAAAAATCACGTAAATTTGAACAACATCTGTGTGCATTGATCCCAGAAATATTGTTGAAATTGAATTAAAATTGAAAAAGTTATAATTAGCTAAACAGAAAAATGTGAAATCCCATATCTGTTTTTCTTCCCATTATGTCAACTTCTAAAATTTGTCAAAAATTCAATTGTCAAGTAAATTGAAAATTTCTTCATATGTTGCATTTGCAATGAAGTTTTGAAGATTTCCTTACTTTAAGTTTGAAAAATCTTCAAAATTGGGTGACATAAAATACAAAACGCAAAAACATTTTCGAAAAATGTACAAAAAATGGGAAAAAATGATTTTACTTTCTGACTTTTATCCATTTTAATTATCAGCATATTTCAATTTACAAAAACATTTAAATTTGTGAAACATTTGTGTGCATAAACCAAGAAAATATGAATGAGCTTGGATCAAAATAAAAGAAGTTACATAGAGCTAAACTGAGAAATGTGAAATCCCGTTTCTGTTTTTCTTCCCGTAATCTCAACTTCTAAAATTTGTCAAAAAGTCAATTATCAATTGATTTCCAAATTTGTTCAAAAAAGAAGTTACACAGAGCTAAACTGAGAAATGTGAAATCCCGTTTCTGTTTTTCTTCCTGTAATCTCAACTTTTAAAATTTGTCAAAAAGTCAATTATCAATTGATTTCCAAATTTGTTCAAGTGTTCTTTGCGTTGTAAGGTTTTCAACATTTCCTATTTTTAAATTTAAAAAAAGCTTCAAAATTAAGTGAGATACA